TCTGTTACTCAAAATCTGATATGATAATGCAATATGGTCCGAGCGTGGGTTTTGTGATCCGTTGCACCCCTACTCTCTTGACTTGTTATTTTAAGAAAAAAAGCTATCACTGAAGTTTTTAATCATGCTAATTCCTGCGCAGTGAAGTTCAGCTGATGTCTTTTTTTTTTTTTTTGCTACTTTAATTTTGGGCTACCAAAATCTGAAGAATGTCTGCCCGAAGGGCTACCAGCGATTTTGAAATTTTGCGAGCCCTGGCCTATATCATCTGAAGCCATTCCATATCTTAATGTGAGGGACAGAATTATATTTACATTGTTAAATTTAAGTTTACAGAAACTTCTACTGCAGCTGTCAGTCATTCTCCGCTCAGCATTCAAACAGCACGTCACGTTCAGTTATGACAGTCAGCACGGTAAAACTCTCTCCAAGATGATATATTCCCATTATAATACTTGATGTTTAGATAAAGGTCTGGGAATTCGCATAAAATTACATCTTGCTGGAGTTCATTGCGCTGTGACTTATGTTGCTTCAAGTACATCATTCTGCACCCTAGATGTGCATAAGAGCTGCGGCTCCATGTTGCTTCAAGTGCACCATTCTGCACCCTGAATGTGCATAAGAGCTTTTTGCCGCTCTGTTTGAAGCGTTTCACGTTATCAAAGTTTTGCACACAGAAAGATTATTAGAAGCTTTTATTTTATCATGATTTCTATCTTATTCTCATTAATGCATTTTGTAAGAATACAAATAGTTAACAGAATAAACATTGTTTAAATTGTATAATATGCACTAAAGATTTTATTTCAAGATATTGTTTTTGCTGCTAAATTATACAATCAGCTAGTTTAATTTCATAGCTTATATATTTTTATTCAAATGTAGTTTTTCTCTGTAACGAGGAAGTGAGTATTTAGTGGATTATGTGTAACAAAGGGTTTAAAAGAGTCCCCATTAGTTCCACAAACACAGCATTGATATTCTGAAGTGGTGTAGAAAAAAATAGCGCTGGTGTTGGATCGGTATCGGCCAATTCTTAGAATTTGTAATACTCTATGTAATCTTGCACTGCAAAATAATAACTCAAAAAAGATTAAAAGATAACATCATAATTATTTACTGAACCCTTAAATTAATCACAATTATATAATGAAAGCCATAAAAACAGACAATTAATCGTAATAATCTGCATAATCGTCAAAGCCCTAAAACAGACAATTAATCGCAATAACCGTGATTTGGCAATAGCCAAATTTCATAATCATGACAGCCCTACATAGCACATCAGTTTTTTTATGGTGCGTGAAGTTTTTTATTTTATTTTATTTTTTTTATTTGGTCACGCATTTCTGTTTTGCATTCTGGCACAGTCATTTTAGCTCTGAATCAGATGTGATTCCAGCTCTCTACTTTACAAACAGAATGGGTTTTGTTTGAAAATAATCTCTATCGAACAATGCGCCTTCTTTCGCACCCTGTCATCATCTTTTTGTGCTCGCCGTTTTTCTTTAAGCCTTTTATTTATTTTTTCTAACCGCGAGGTAATTGCTCAGGCCGTATCCATAGAAACCTCAGAACATGTATGGATCGAGAGAGCGAAGACCAGCAGCCGGCACATTATCAGGGCATCCTCATGCAGCCTATTTGCACATGTTCCCTGCAGGGTTAGCACACCAACATGCACACATACAGATTTCACATAACAGTTCCAGCGCTGCTTCTGGATCAGTTCCTGACTGCACCAACAAAATCAGTGGCTAAAACATGAGCAATCCCTGTTTCCTGATTGCTGATATCTTCCCTCAGCCTGAGCTGCTGTGTTAATAGAAGCTGCTCTCTTTGGGAAAGAAAGCTCCCTGCCAAAGAGCCTCCTGCCTTAATAATAAATGATGCTTCACTCTCACACTACTTGAGGTTTGTTCTCACATTAATTATTTGCTAAGCTGAGAATGCCGGACCCTTCTTGGCCTATCAATCTATATTTGTCATCCTTCTGACATCAATTTTGAATAACCTCAGCTACGTAAAAAAAGGCATTGAGATTGAGGCGTTCATGCAGAGAAGCAGGCAGGCGAATGTGGATTTGCAGACTCCACTGAATTAGTAATCTATATTGATCTACGCTCTGGAATGGAGCAATATTCTCTGCAGTTTGGTACACACTGGCTCGGCAATGCATTTTCCACAAGGTTTCTCTCTGAGGTTAAGCCACGGTGCCAGAGAGAACTAGCTCATGCTCCGCACAGCTGCCATCCTGGGGATTTTCGTCATGGTCTGAATATGGTACGCCTCACTCTGCTTCTCGTCTGATCCCTAAGGATTTTAGACCGGTATTTGAGGCACCGGTGCAAAGCAGAAGTATCTCAGTAGTTTTCTGTGAGAATGATTGGGGACACACTGTAAGAGCAGAATTCTTTTGATGCCAAGAACCTTTGAAATTTTGAAAGGAATCCCCTTCCTAAAATATTTATTTTGTTTATAAAGATTAATTTATACTGTGTAAGGAAAAAGTGTGATTTTTGTGACATTTTGTTAGCAAAATTAAATATTTGGCTTTTATATTGCCATTGTGCAAATAATATTTTAATGTATTAGCTGTACTGTACTGATTCATAACCTGTAGATAAATATTTCCAAATAAATTAATTTCTTTCTGTAGAACTGCAAAAAAATATATAAAATATTGTCCCAAATAAGCTTTGCAGAGAAATTTATAAAATATTTACAATAAAAATATTATTCCAAAAATATTTTTAAACTGTATGCAGATTTCTGTTATTTTTCTGCTTATAAAAACTATGGCTGATGGCAATAATTGGCTGACTGCTATTTTCTTGGTTTTTAAGCTCGCTGATACTTTCTATGCACATTATTCTGCCATTTGTCATTTTTCTATATTGTTCAAATGCAGCTGAATTTTTATCATTTGGCTGCAAAAATTCTAAAAGAGAATGAGGAACCTCACGCAAAGCCTCAATCACATGACCAGGGCCACCCCAAGCACCATGAGCTCCTTTGAGGTCAGAGATTATTGATCTTTCAAAGGGTGGGTGGCTTCTTTCCCTCTATATACACACCAGACTGTCAGCCTACTGTTCAGTGGATCGCCACGCTTGATCCGCCAACTTAAGCAGAACTCTAGGAATGCGGCATTTTTTTTTAAAGCCTCCCATTCCTTCAGATGCATTTTAGGAACCTTCTGTGATTTCAGTGACTCGACCTTTTTGCCACAGGCTGAAAATGGCCCCTGCCAGGACTATTTTATTCCTCTGTGCCAAGCAGATTTTGCCTGACCGCAGGGCCTGTCACCAGGTCCTCATGCTGGTTCTCCCCTGGGGTGAAACAAGCCTAAGGCTCCATCCCAGTACATAAAACTGTTTCCTGCTGACTCTCTTTCTCTGGTGTACTGATTTACCAAATAAGATCAAGGTTATACTTGCTGCATTCTGGTTTAGACTCAGTGTGGTACTGATAACTTTGTATTGTCTTGTAAATGACATTGACAAATACAGTTTCTAGGAAAAACTATTTGTTCTATTCAGATTTACTTACTAATCGTTTGTTGTCGTTCCAGCCTATAGTGTGTTGTAAATAGGCACAGGCTGTTTGCGCTTGTAATTAAAGGGATACTCCACCCAAAAATGAAAATTCTCTCATCATTTACTCACCCTCACGATGTCCCAGATGTGCCGTCCCAGTTACTTGCTTCTGTGGAACACAAACAGAGATTTTTACAAAAGTAATAAAATAAAAAGGCTATTGAAAAGTCCTTGAAAGTTCGCTCCTCAAAAACCACAACAGTAATCCATACAACCCCAGTTGTTGAATATATGTCTGTTGAAGCAATGTCTAACACGTGTGTGAGTAAAATACTCATATTTGAAACTTTTTAAACTATATTAACCATTGCTTCTGAGCAAGTCTCATACGTGAGTTTTCATGACATGTCAGCACATTGTGATGCATTAACTTTGAGGGACCCACCTCACAGAGATGGAGTATTTTTCTAAATATTTTTGTTTGTGTTCGTCTGAAGAAAGTCATATACATCTGGGACAGCATAAGATTGTGAGGGGGCAGACCTTTGTGTGCGATATAGTGACTAAATGAGATGTGGTCACTTGTAATCTCAGAATATGATTTTTGTGATCAGGTCACAAAACATTGATTGGTGGTGAGCTCTGTGTAAAGGTAAAGCGAATGTTTGAGAGTCTGTTTTACTTTTTGTTTGCCCGTCATGTCCACCACATACATGAATGAGGTCAGAATGCATCCTAGTAGTAGTATTTCCAAAAATTCCCATCATGTCCGTTCACAACAGCACCTAGATCGCCATGTGCTTCTCTTTGCTCTTTTCCTCAACCCACAGCTGTGTGAGCTGGTGGGACGGGGCTGGACGGAGGAGGGCAGTTGCAGCAGACGTACTTGGCAGCTCAAAGAAAGCTCAGAGGAGTCTGGTCTTGTACACGGGTCTAGGTTTCACACAGTGTACTGCAAATTCAGCAGCAGTCAGGGATAAAGTCGCTCCCACATTCTGACAGATTAAGAGCTGCAGAATCACATCTAGTATATGACCATATTTTTGTGTCAGCATTTTGATTATCTCTTCTCTGTACCCGCAGCGTTTCATTCAGTATCTGGCCTCAAGAAACACGCTCTTCAATTTGAACAATTTCCTTGATAAAGGTGCATTGCAAGGTATGTCAGAAACATGAACACCTTTCCTGTCTCTAAAGCATTGTACGCACACACACACTGATGATAAAGCCCTCGACCTTTCCCTCAGGCTATGACATGTCCACATTCATCAGGCGGTACAGCAGATATCTCAATGAGAAAGCCCTTTCCTATAGGCTGGTGGCTGTGGACTTCACCAAGATGAAGAGAGGGTGGGTAAACCTCAGTTCTGCCTCTGTAATATTGTCTGCCTGGAGTCAAGATTGTGTTCAAACACATTTTCTCAGCAGGACACAATCTAATCAGGCTAGCTCATTACTCTGATGATTAAGTTGTTTTTTAAAGCTGATAAAGTAGCTGATTTTTTAAACCGCTAATTAAGATTGCGAGTAAGTGGCGAGTTCTGATTGTTTGTTTATCTGTTTGTGGTGTAGTATTGATGGAGTCATGCGCACCATGAACACGGAGAAGCTGATCAAAACCTTGCCTATCATTCAAAACCAGCTGGACGCGCTGCTGGATTTCCAGGTTTGTGATGGAGAAACATGCATGTGTGCTTTAAAACTTTACAATCATTCAAATCAAATCAGAATTGATTTCTTTATTTTTATAGAATTGGTTTTCTCTTTTTTTATTTTTTTATTTTTATTTTTTTTACTGGTTACATGCTTCATAATCTCCTGTTTTAAAAAATCCATGTAATGAAAGTTTGTGGTCGGTAAGATTTGTTTAATGTTTGTGAAAGTACTCTTCACTGCATTTAGTTGATTACAAATGCAGTAAAAACAGTAATGTTGTGAAAAACAGCTGTTTTCTATTTTAATATATTTTAAAATTTAATTTCTTTATATGCATTTTTAGCAGTTGATTACTTCAGCATCACATGATACTTCAGAAATCATTTTAACATTTAACGTGGTGTTCAAGTAACATTTATTATTATTATCAATGTTGAAAACAGTTGCGTTGCTTAATATTTTTGTGGGAACCATGATCATTTTATATGTTTTCATGATAGAACGTTTAAATTTATATGAGATCTGAATCTTTTGTCACATTATAAATATCTTTACCGTGATTTTTGACCAATTTAATGCATCTTGCTAAATAAAAGCTTTAATTTCTTTCAAAGAAAATCTTACTGACCCCAAGCTTTTAAATGGCAGAAATCTGGATGATGAAATGCAAGAACATTTACAGTATTAAAAGTCCCTTAGTCTTCGTAATTTCCACTCAGCTTGGATAGATTTGTCGGTTTATAGTGCAGATTATTTGATTTGTGCCTGTGATTGAAGTGGTAAGCAGTTCCCTTAAAATCAAGTGACCCTGAAGCCCCACGTTGGAAAACCCTATTTTAACAGAACAACACTGATGTTGAGCCAGTCCAAGCTATTTGGTATGATGTGCACTCTCTCATGTGGATGTGTGGGTGTGTGTCCGTAGGCTAACCCTAATGAGCTGACTAACGGAGTGATCAACGCTGCCTTCATGCTGCTCTTCAAAGACTCCATCCGTCTGTTTGCTGCCTATAATGAGGGCGTTATCAACTTGCTGGGTAAGAGTAATCCACTCCCTTTCACTCTGGAGAGCGTCCTACTCTCACACTCTGCTTTAGGGATTATGTCTTACTGCTTTCTGAACAAAGAACAGTGCAGTTGAACCACAAGAGCTCAGGTCTTTCTGTACGCTACACTTATTAATTACTAGTATGAGATACTTTCATCCAAATTGAACTGCATCTGTGTACCACAAATAAATGTTATTAAATCAATCCTGCTGTTGGTAGAAAATGTTGTGTATATTTTGAAAATTGGTGGGACCATATTATCTATAACCGCTGTCGAATAGGTCTCAACCCACAACGTTTTGAAGCGTGTTTTGATGCTTTTAACTTTAGCTTGTTAATTTTTGGTTAATTCTTATAAAAAGATTTAAATGAAGTGAGGCCAGATTTAGTTCTAGATTTGTGAAAGATGAATTTTTTTACAATTTGTTTTTATTTGTTGTGTTTTTTGCTTGTACTATTTTTGTTTTTCCCTTGTTTCTTCCCCTGAATATAGCCACGGTTGCTGCATGGAGCTAAATTATAAGCAAGCAAATAAATATTACCTGAGCAAGTCTTGATCTTGTATCTCAAGAGCAGTTGACATATTCAGAACAACACTGTGCGCGATACTTGTGCTTTGGCTTATCTTTGACCTGAAGTTGCACTTTGCGTCCAGTGTGTGACCCCCTTAATAGTCTAGCACAGGGGTGCCCAAACTCGGTCCTGGAGGGCCGGTGTCCTGCAGAGTTTAGCTCCAACTTGCCTCAACACACCTGCCGGGAAGTTTCTAGCATGCCTAGTAAGAGCTTGATTAGCTGGTTCAGGTGTGTTTGATTAGGGTTGGAGCTAAGCTCTGCAGGACACCGGCCCTCCAGGACCGAGTTTGGGCACCCCTGGTTTAGCAGAAACAAGGCCTTAATTCCTCTTCAGCTATTGCTGCTTTTTACTCTGTTTGAGCTCTAATTATACCATTGTTAAGTCGTTCATTTTTCCATGATTTTTATTGTTTTATTATTTTTTTATGTTGTAACACATGCCTGTTTAGGTTGATGGTCTGAAAATGCATTAGAGTGCTTGCTGTCCTTGAGCGAACCATTACAGCAGCTTTTATATGCCCGTCTCTATCAGACAGCCCAGAGTGTTTTGACAGTCCTCTGATGGGTAATTGCAGTCTTTATCTGTTTGAGTTGCTCTGCTAATCGTTCTGCTCTCCCTCTGTCTCTCTCTCTTTTTGTCCTCCTGTTTCAGAGAAATACTTTGATATGAAAAAAAACCAGTGTAAAGATGCCCTGGACATCTATAAGAAGTTTCTGTACAGGATGACCAAGCTGTCAGAGTTTCTTAAAGTGGCTGAGGTACCAGTGCAATGTGTACACGCACAGACACACACACACACACACACACAGACACAGTGTTTTGATACAATAGGTCTGAGATTAGACAGGTTGTTCAAGGATCCCTCCGCTCCCACAATTTCTTTCTCTCTCTCGTATCTCTCCATCCTACAATGCTCTGGCATTCATATTCACTAGACTGATGCGTACACTGATATATTTAGTGTTCTGGCACTGCAGTGCATTGCACAGTCCTCATAGAATGTGTCCATAAACGCATACATGTGCCTATCCTGCCAAAAGTCATTTGGATGTCACTAAGTTTCATCCTTTGTTTGAGTCGAGGTTGAACTGACCTCTGTTTTGGTTTCTCTGTAACAGCTCCTAAAATATTGCAACTGGTAAAAAGAGATTGAAATCAGCATAACATCAGTCTGTTGAGGGTATTTGAGGGTCTCATTGGGTACATTTGTACACCAAGTACAATTGTTTAAGTTTATTAACATGCTTATTACCTGACACACACTAGCGTTCAGAAGTTTGGGGTTAGAAAGTTTTTTTTTGTTTGTTTTTTTTTTATAAGTATTAATACTTTTATTCAGCAAAGATGCATTAAATTGATCAAAAGTGACCGTAAATAGATTTATTGTAACAGTACCAAACATTTCTATTTGCAGATTATTGCTATTAAAATCTATTTTTTTGTCCAATAAATGCTGTTCTTTTGAACTTTCTATATATAAATGTAACCGTTTTCACAAAAAATTAAGCTGTGCAGCTGCTTTCAACATTGATAAAACAACGTATTTCTTGAGCATCAAATTATTAGAATATTAGAATGATTTCCGAAGGATCATGTGACACTGAAGACTGGAATAATGATGCAGATAATTCTATCATAGAAATAAATTACATTTCAAAATAGAAAGCGGTTATAATAATTTGGAAGTTGTAATTATTTTTCACAATATCTTTTAAAAACTAAAAAAAATCGTACTGACCCCATGTTTTTGAACGGTACTGTACATATGAAAATTAACCCCCAGCAATCTCCACAATGATTTAAAAAAAAATCTTTATCCAGTAATCATGAATGACTGGATGAGCTCTAAAAAATCCATGTAAAGTTATTGGTCCAAAGTGTGGGAACCCTGCAGTGAGAGTACTCCACTAAGACTGCTTTATACAGTGTGGAATGAGCTGTTTCTCTCCTGTTATCCTTACTGTGGCCATTGAAGGCAGTCGTTCCTGCTGTGGATTCACGTGGCGTGAGACCTTTAAAGTCTCTCTCTCTTTCTGGGCCAAATGTAGATCTGTCTGGTGCTCCCTCCTCTCTCTCTGACACTGATGAATTCCCATGCTGCCGCCCTCTTTCTCTCACTTCCCCTCTCAGTCCATCCAGCCAGGCTTTAGTCTGTCTGGTTTTATTTCCAGACTGGCTCTTCTTCTCAGGGATTCGATTTGACAGAGTCTCTGAGAACAATGTACATCGCCATGTCAGATTCTTGTCTCATTTTCTTTTGTTCTTTTTTTTTTGTTTTTTTGGGGGGTTTTTTACCCCCACCGGTTTTCATTTAAAAGTCATAATTTGTAAAATTTGTTTTTGAATGTTAACCACTCCACACCTCACAGTCAGCCATGTGAAACATTATCAATGTCTGTGTCCGTTCCCATTGGTCCTCCGTGGCTCTTGGCATGCCACACCTGTGTTATTTTTATTTCTTTCATTTTTAGTCACTGCATGAGGTAATGATCCTTTATGTTTGTTCTTTTTCTGATTCCTCCTCCCTCCCCTCGTGTGTTTGTTTGTTTACCGTTTTTTTTGTTTTGTTTTGTTTATAACAGCAAGTTGGGATTGATCAGGGTGACATCCCAGATCTCACTCAGGTCAGTGTACATTTCATCTCCACTTTCTGTTTCTCCTCTTCTTCCTGACTACGCTGCTGCTTTCGTCCATCGTACCACCGCTCTCCCTTCCTTCTTTTCTCTTTGTGTTCCACCTGTCCTCGTCCTTTCTCTGGTTGTCTTACGTGCTGTTTTTGTTCCCATGCTCACTGTTTTTTGGATGTTCTGTCTCCTGTCCTCTCTCCTTTTTGGTTTAGAAAGTCAGACTTTATATTAATCGCTTCAAGACTTGTGGCTTGACAGACGTTACCAAACACTCCTCTCTCTGTTTAGTTCCCTCTCAAATGTGTGTTTAGTGATGATCACACTGTTTCAGTATGACTTTGTGGAGTTGCACTAGGCACAGTTTAAATTTGATGTCTTTGTTTGAGTTTTGACATTACAGAGTGGGGTTAACACTATATTGAATGAGGTTTATTCCCCTGCAGTAACACATTGTTTATTGTTCCTTTCAGACGACTAGAGGATCTTACCTTGTAGGTGGTGGGTTATATGCACTGCTTGTATATGACATAAATGTGCTACTACTAGTGCTGGGTGATATATCAAATATTTACAACATATTCAATCATTTTTCGTAAAAAATTAGCCAACATCGTTAATGCTGCAATCATTTTTATTTGGCCATCCAATTTATTAGAAACCTGTGCCAGTATTCCAGTTTTGCACTCACTATACTGTAAGTGCAGAAATATTTTAAAATTTAAAGGGGTCATATGATGTCGCTAAAAAGAACATTATTTTGTGTATTTGGTATAATGAAATGTCTTTGAGGTTTAAGGTTCAAAAAACACATTATTTTCCACATACTGTACAATATTGTTTCTCTTCTATGCCCCGCCTTTCTGAAACGCGTTGATTTTTACAAAGCTCATCAGTCTGAAAAGCGAAGTGTGCTCTGATTGGCCAGCTATCCAATGTTTTATGATTGGCCGAATTCGTCAAGCGTGTGACGGAAATGTTATGCCCCTACCATACTGTGATGCCGTGTCCCGGCCGGAGCGATGAGACCAAAACATTAAAACCCATTATAAACGAGGCGTTTGTTGCATCCAGTGGGGACATAATTACGGATTATAATGACTTATACCGTCTTTTTATGCATTGCGTTGCATCGCGCCGCGTAAACAAACCATGTCTGCATTTGTGATCGGAGAAATTACAAACAGCAAGCCCTACTCTACACTGCCCAAAACTCGCGTTTGAATCATCAGTGGCAAATCCTTTAAATATGAAAACGTACTTACAGACTGAGTCAGAACAGCCGGCATTGTAGTCTACTCTTCCAGGATCAGGAAACAGTCCTCCATAAAATGTGCTGCACACATCTGAATATTTGGGTTAAACTGTTCTGGAACAGTGTTGTAAATACAACTTAACCACTGATTTCTAGTCGTGTCCTCTTTTGGAAGACCAAACAAAGTGCTTTCGCAATGAAACACACAGCGTCTTCACAACACGGCAGCGGCGGTGGCAGCAACAATAAAGTTACGCCTTTCTTTGCGTGAACAATTGGGCGGCGTTATGCAAATCTTCCCACACAGTGACGTAGACATGTGGGGGCATGTTTAAACGAGGTGTTTTAGGGGGGCGTGGACCAGTCTTAACTTTTATAAAGAATATCTCTTTGGATTAAGACTCTAGTCTTTGCAACTTCAGGGATCTCATCTATTCACAAACCGCTTGTAACACTCCAAAGAGAAAGGAAAACTTGAAATCGCATCATATGACCCCTTTAAAAAAGATACTTGCTATTTAAACCAGGGGCATATAACAATTAAAACTTAAATGTCTCATTATACACGTAAATATGTGGGTAATTATTATAATTTAATAATATATTGTTGTATTGTTCCATATAGTAGTATTGGAATGAAAGCAAAATTATTTTAGTTTTATTTATATATTTATCGTATATTTAATTATATAACATGTAATAATTATGTAAATATCAATCTTTTCATTTAATTAAAGACATTTATTTTTAAAATTTTACTGTATTTTGAGTCTGAATCTTGGTGTAGTCAAAGTGATTATTCTTTAAATTAAAAGCCATTTTAGAGCAAATACATACTGTATGTGTTGAAATCAAAAATCATCAAAAAGTAAATATTGAGGTAATTTTTTTTAGCTGTATCTCCCAGCCCTAGTTTCTTTCTGACTGCATCATCGGATTCATCCCATTAAAACCAGGCTAACTGATTGAATGTGGCCCAAACTGCCATTCTTTTCTCTGTCAATTTGCAGGCATGGCTGTATATTGCTATTTCTGCTGATCTGAGACCAGATGGGCAGTTGTCTCTTTATAGTTTGATCAAATCGTTAGCTCAGATCAGCATAAAAGCAAAGCTCCGGCTGGGTTGCATGACGGCTTCATGCTTGCAAAACCCCCTGACCATCAGAGTTGTAGAAGGTGGCGCTTCTGTGAGAGCTATATGATTTACCCAATGCCCTGTTTCACCTTTACATGAGAAAACGGCCCTACGTTTGTAGGATTGTGATGAAGTATTCATGTAACCTCACTTTGTCCTTTGCGTAGCCGCACGCACATCTATAATGTAGTCATTTAATCAAAAGCCTGTTCGTGCCGTGTCTTCTCCAAGGAAATCAAATCAGACAGGAAGGAAGCAAATTAAAAGCTGTTACTCTTTCATCTTTCTTTTTTATCTCACTTCTGTGGAAGTAATACATTTTCCCGCTTAGCCGAAATGTTGGTTTTTAGTTCTATTTGAATTATAGACTGCTGCATATGTGTTTCTCTCTTTTGGCTTCTGTTTTCGGTGGAATGGATTAGACCCAATCTGCCCTCTCAGCGATGTGAAGAAAAAGCCAACCTAGATCAGATCCAGATATGTTGGCCAGCGCTGCCAGCTAGGCTCAGTCGAAGAGCTTACCTTACCCTTAGACTATAAGAGCAGTTTATACACGGGTTGTCTGTTCTGGAAACTTGGCACAAAGCACCTGCTCTTTTCACCAACCATGAGCTCTGAGTTTGTGCTAACATTTGCTCTCATTTGAATGAAGCAGCAACGGGGTGTGTGTGCTCTTAGGTGCTAACATACACATCCCGTGTTTGCTGATGTGGGACCTGTGTTATGCTTCCTCTTGTAGTTAAGATAATTCTTTTCAAAAGAAACAAATCCTAGATCGGTATAAAGGGCTCAGAGGAAGGTTTTAGCTAGATTTCTAGTTCCAAAAGCCAGTGTAAAGAGTTTAATGTCATGGTCCAATAATGAGTTTTATCAGTGACCTCATGGGTCTGTCATGCATTTGAGGTTTGGATCTTCCAGTGTGCATGTCACTTCCTCTCTTTCGAATTCGTACTCTTCCTCTCTCTTGTTTTCTGTGCTTGTTTATCCTTTGCCTGTACGCCTCTTACTAAAAGCTTAAAGCATGCTCCTGTTATTATTTAATGAAACTCAGGTGGGTGAGTGTGTAAGTGTGTTTGATCGTGTGAGTGTGTACTCTTTAAACTGGATCTGTATGTTCTCATTGAGTTCTTGACCCTTCTCTTTGTCCTGCAGGCTCCCAGCAGTCTCCTGGAGGCTCTTGAGCAGCACCTGGCCTCTCTGGAGGGCAAGAAAACCAAGGAGCTCTCAGCCGACAACAGGTACGAAATCCTACAGTTCTAAAAAATCCAGCATCACACTGTAAAGCACTGTTTGGGCAAACATCTGTGAAGTCATGCAACCAAAACATTAATGCATTCGAAAAATTCACTAAGACATTCTAAAATCCATATAAATTGAGTGGTTTATTCCAAGTCTTCTGAAAAACAGAAAAGCTTTACATGATGAACAAATTTAATTTAGGCTTTTATTTACATAAATATTGATCAATGCATCTTACATAGAGCTCATTGGACAGCCAATGCTCAACCAGTGAGGTCTGTTTTTGCATGTCAAGCAAGCAAGGCAGTTGATTTTCCATGTTTGCCATATTAATAAGTGAATGGACAATTTCCATTCCACATTTCCATCAGCAGGGGAAAAGTAATGGCGCTGAACAGATATACCAAGAAAAATGTTATTCATTTATTTCTCTTTCCATTTATTTATTTTAATCTTTTTGTGAGTCTTTGTATTTTTCTTAGTTTTTTTGCATTTTTAAAATGACAAATGATCTCCTGCTGAAATTCCAAATGAAAACATTTTAACAAATGATCATCAGCTGAAATTCCAAATAAAAATGTTTTAACACGAAAAACATTGATCTGTGAATTCCTGTGAAGACGTTTGTGTATATATATTAATTAAAATGGTAAAATTTAATTTTTTTTCTTGGTATTCCTGTTTCTTGGTATACCTGTATATTGAGTAGTGGGCTGGTTGTGTAATATAACGTGGGGGTCATCATGGCGTAATACCCATTTTGTGTAAAATAAAATGCCTCTTATTAGGCTAATGAATCTCATTCATCTCATGTGAGTGTACATCTTTTTTTTTTTTTTTTTTTTACGTCAACCTTTTTTATTGCTTTGAAGATAAGACAAAATATGTAGTCGTATGCAAGTTCCTGTATATGCTGTATAAATCCTCTTAACAGCACTTCACAAGCCATATGTTGAAGCACTTGATACAGCAACAACAAACCATTAGCAAGAGATTTATATATAGCCACATACTGTAAGATATTACTTTTTTGGCTTGTGAAGAGTGTTAAATAAATCAGGTCCTAAATAAAGAACTGATAGGGAAATCTCACTTCTGTGCTTATCTGTGTTTTTCTCTGTAGAGCCAACACTCTGTCCAATGCGGTGTCGTCCCTCTCCAACACGGGCATGTCCTTCTCCTTCTCATCCAGCAGGATGGACGAGAAGGAGAAACAACAGGCCCTGGAGGAGGAGCAATCCCGTCTGCAAGCTCTCAAGGTGGGTTACAACCTATCCCATTATTTTCTGTGAATGAACATGTTCTAAGTTTGAAGTGTGGACAGGAAGTGATGTTAGCTGGTTCAGTGTGGAGAATAAAGAGTACATACAATAAAGGCATATCCCAGCTCCACCCAGGGAAGTTTGTTGCAACTGAGATTTGGCAGAATTGAAGCTGCTGTTCTGGGAACATTTTGTTCTACACATACAAGTGTATGTGTGTTTACACAATACGCCCTTGTACCTTCAATGATTAGCCTGCAACAGTAAGTGGTCAACGGGGTTAATCAAACCTCTCTGTCTCCATCAGGATTTACTGTCATACCTTGTGGGACACAAATACTCACACCAACACACACACAAACTGAATGACAGGAATATCATTGGTGTGGAATGTATCCCCAGATGCACCACGGCTCCATATCTGAATAGTTCAAACATTCAAAGCAATTTCAAAGTCCAACATCAAAGTATTTACACATCCCGTGTTCGGATAAGTTTGTGTGAAATTGAACTGGTGTTTCTTTGTGATTATTGTGTTCTCAACACTCCACAGTGTTTTAGAGTGCTATTGCTTTCTTTTTCCGCTTTCTTTTCTTCCCACATTTTCTTGTTGTTGCAAAGGGCATAAAACCTTGCCATGTCGCAACCTACTTCCTCTCTCTTTAGAAACTAGAATCTAGGGCTGCACGGTTTAAAGAAAGAAATCGAATTGTGATTTTTCTGATTAGAAATTAAAATCTAAAATGTGATTTAAAGAAGAAAAAGTTTTAGGTTTGCTTGTTTATAGGGCTGCGCAATTTGGCCCAAAATGTTGTGTTTTATCTATCGGTATGATAGTTATAATAATAATGTACACATTTAATAATATAATAATTATATAAAAAAATTATTATACACAATAATAATTATTATTCTTGTTGTTATGCTAAATAATGATCTTTTTTATCTTTATTTATTTATCTTATCGCTAAATAAAAATGATAAAACAAGAAAAGTTACTATTGTAATATTTCACTGTAAAGGAGAAAATAGGAAAAAAAATTATAGTAAAACTGTAAAATTTAAATTACTAATATTTATGCCCATCTTGATTCATTTTCAGATGTTAATCCGTCAAACTTTTATTTTGGCAGAAATCCCCAGTTAGCTCTTGTAGCTTTTCTTTTGTTGACAACAATCGGTTTAACTGTGCTTTTCTTTACAAATTTGGAAAGATGATTGACATGTATTCCCATATGCATGTTCTAAGTGACTTAAACTCAGAGCAAATGTAGAGAGAAGGTTGTGTGGAGCAGTTTTTGCTGTGACCAATGTCACAGGATCATGAGCTGCTCACATGTAAAAACACATTACACATTATTGGTCAAAAAGCCTAGACCAGACTTGACTTTAGGTTTTGGTTTGTCTGATGTCAAATAGTTGTGCTCGAGTGAGTTGCTTAGCTTGAAATAGCTCTACATGCTGACGATTTATTGACTTTTCTTGTTCCTTTCGTATGGTTGGTCTAAGCTGCTCAAGTAGTTGATGTTTTTGAGGCGTTGCTCATTTCCGTCAAAGGAAGTGTGACTTGGGAGATCTTCTCTGACTTCAGCCATCTCTTCTACAGTACGCGCGCACACACACACACACACACACAGACAGACAGTAGATCTGAGCTGTAGCTGATTGACACTTAAGCTGCCTGAGTGGCTGTAATCTGTCTGATTTCACAGAGCTCAGCTGAAGGAAATAGTCTCTACAGTGACCATCGCAGGAGAAATGAGCCGAGCAGCCCAGTCTTTAAATGCTTTGTTCTCTCTAAATGTTTTCTTCCTGTGTTTTGTGATTGTATAGAACCAGCGTCTGAAGGAGATGAGCATGCAGACCCCCTCTGCCTCTCCCAGCACACAGTCTATGGGTAGTGCCAACAACCACACTGCGGGCATGGACCTGTTCACCAACACCACAAGCCCACCCTCAACAAACAGGTCACTAGCATGTAGTACATGACCGCAGTACATATTATATAAAGAAAAAAGCTCACTGAACACAAGTAAACCTTCAGCGATTAAGAATACGAAAGAAAGTAATAGAACAAATAAATAAGAAATGCTACATACATCGTATAAAGTAATCGAATGTATAAAAACATGCATATACTTCTGTGTAAATTAAATATATATTTTTTCTTATTAATGTTACAAAAATTATTTAGCTGTCACTTTAAGAGCTGCCCAGATCCAATATACTATTACACGTTTTCTTTCTCAGCTGTATGCTTTCACATAAGAGCCAAATTACTGTATACGAAGGTACTTGCAAATACAGGCGTTTTGACAAGTGTGTGTATTTAACTTAATGTGTGTTCAAGGCCAATAAAGTGGCAAAAATAACTGTTAAATACTCCCGCGCTCTGAGCACCGTCTTCATGTGCGCGTGCCTCTCTGGCAGCACGATTTATAGTGGAATGAGTTCTCTTTTGCTGCTGATTGCATTTCAGTGGCTTAAAATAAATAGTTTTAAACCGCTTAAAAACACGTGCAAATGATACTGTATATTTTCATGACCATGTAGCACAGCAATGTCACGTGAGCATGTAACCGCGATAGTGACAGTAGTTCAAAATATCTACCGTTTGACAAATTTATACCGGTATATCGCCCACCCCTACGTACAGTAATACAAAGCTCAGTGAATCTACAATATATGCTATACCATATGGTCCAAAGCCTGAGATTTTGGGATTCAAAATCAATTTAAACTGGAAATAAAATTTTAGGATTTTGAAATAAAAAAGGCTTATTACAGACAAATGAAGAGATATTTGAGATTCTGTATACTTTCATTCATAATATGAACTTACAAAAGTCACATTTACTTTTCATTTTTTCAGTTTTTATTAAAGCACAAGATACTTATCTCAAAACATGTTTTATAACATGAAAACATTAAAAAATATAGACTGTCAAAGTTGCCTATTCATAAATAGATTGCCACTTTATATATTATATTTATTTAGATATTAGTATCATTGTTTCAACATCTTATATACTGCACAATACTGCAAAGTAAAATTTTGAAATAATTTAATAGATGTCTATCAGAACTTATTTGATATATTTGACAACTGTTAGGTTGTTTGCTGGTTTTAAACCCTGTTGGCATCATGAATCTCACTGTTGTTGTGGCAGTTGCCTTGCTGATGATGCAACTCCCACAACAGGTTGATTGTTGTAAGAAGTGAACAGACGGAATCTTTTCACCCTGTCTGTTTTGAGGTGTTTGTCCTTTTTTTTTTTACTCTGAACTCTATAGCTGTTCAGTGATATACTATAATCCAAACGTGCCATTGGTGAGAATGAAAAAGCCTTTATACCATCTTTAAGAACTCGGATGATTTAAAAAGACCAAACCATGGCTGTGCAGTGGGCTCACTAGTATCTCTTAATGTAGCCTGCATGATACTTTTTAGATGAAAGAACCGAGCCTCTCTGTTCAGATTCCTTTTCATACCCTTCAAAGCCTTTACAGAACACACAAAGAATGAAAAGCGGCATATTTAGACTGTGCTATACACTATGTGTGAGCGAGGAGGGAGTACTAGATGTCAGCACCTACAGAAAAAGCATGGACATGTCAATACCTGCTGCCAGGGCCGTTTCTAGGCATAGGCGAGCTAGGCGGTCGCCTAGGGTGCCACCAGCTGAAGGGGCGCCAATGAGCGCACGTACTGGCACTTTTATTAGGGTTGTGATAAAGAGTGGCACGGTCACCCTGAAATATGACTGCTGCCCCCACTGGATCCCCCAACATTATTGGGCTAGAGTCATGGGCGTCGCTAGGCCATTTTTAGGGGGGCTATAGCTATAATGACTACTCAGCCCCCCTAAAATATTGCGATTAGCTCCATAAACTGTACATGAATTTGTGATCATGAAGACTTGTATTTGGCTTATTCAGTTATATGTTATACCTATGCAATATAGTGGAATACTGCTCTTTTTAGTATATAAATTTAGCATACCAACCCTATTAGTCAAACATTTTTTGTTATATATATTATACCCTCATTGGGGACTGAGCCCCCCTAAAATGAAAATCCTAGAATTGCCCCTGGCTAGAGTACTGTCATGCCACTAGATAAGAGTGCTGTCAATTGCTACCTGATTGTTGCATGCAAAGGTTGCATTTGGAGCGCTCAACAACGCCATTAGATCAGTGGGCTCTGTCAGTGCTTTGGCAAGGTAACACTTTTTTTTTGCCATGTAATAAAGCTAAGTTCAAAGGCCAATTTAAAATATTGGTACAGTAAATAAAGTGCACAAAATCAGTATTTTGTTTAGGCAGTTTTTGTGGCACATTTGTCCAAATATTTGTGGCAGATTTGTCCAAAAGTTGTGAATTTTTTGCGCCAATACTTTGTTAAAGGATCAGCGTGTCATGTAATATTCCCATATAAACTTTAACATCCAATTAAAAAATATTTGTATATTAAAATTAGCTAATTCACGAGATCAATACATCCTTTATTAGACCGATTTGTCGAGTTAAATGCATCCTTACGGAGGTGTCGAAATGCTGAATCAATTCATTCACTTCCAACAGCGCTTAAGGGGGGGCGGGGATAGGGATTTCACCTAGGGCATCAAATTGGCTAGAAACGGCCCTGCCTGCTGGTCTTCGCTCACTTTCTCGAGTGAGTTGATGAAGCCACTTGGCCTGGTGGTGCAACATCTTGAAAACAATGAAAATCACAGTCCAGCTGCTTTTCACTACTAAGTTCTACCAGACATTGTAAAATGTTCTAATTTCTAATTTCTCAAAATGGGCGGTAACAAGTGTACTATGTACTAGGGCTGTGCAATTAATCGCATTAATATTATATACTATAAATATAAGTTTTATGCTAGTAAGATTTGTTTTTAAATGTTTTTGAAAGAAGTACTCTTATGCTCACCAATGCTTAATTTATTTGATAAAAATAAAAACAGTATGAACAGTGATTTACAATTTAAACTCTTTCTGTTTTAATTAGTGCTGGGCAACGATTAATTGTGATTATTTGCATCCAAAATAAAAGTTTTTGTTTATATAATATATGTGTGTGTACCATGTATAGTTATTATGAATATATAAAGACACACAATTATAGTATATATTTAGATTTTTTTTTACATGTATATATGTATATTCATATAATTTATATTATACTGTATATAAATATATTTAATATATAACATATTTTTTCTTAAATATATACATGCATGTGTGTGTGCTTTTATACAGTGGGGGAAAAAAGTATTTAGTCAGCCACCAATTGTGCAAGTTCTCCCACTTAAAAAGATGAGAGAGGCCTGTAATTTTCATCATAGGTATACCTCAACTATGAGAGACAAAATGAGAAAAAAAATCCAGAAAATCTCATTGTAGGATTTTTAAATAATTTATTTGCAAATTATGGTGGAAAATAAGTATTTGGTCAATAACAAAATTTCATCTCAATACTTTGTTATATACCCTTTGTTGGCAATGACAGAGGTCAAACGTTTTCTGTAAGTCTTCACAAGGTTTTCACACACTGTTGCTGGTATTTTGGCCCATTCCTCCATGCAGATCTCCTCTAGAGCAGTAATGTTTTGGGGCTGTCGCTGGGCAACATGGATTTTCAACTCCCTCCAAAGATTTTCTATGGGGTTGAGATCTGGAGACTGGCTAGGCCACTCCAGGACCTTGAAATGCTTCTTACGAAGCCACTCCTTCGTTGCCCGGGCGGTGTGTTTGGGATCATTGTCATGCTGAAAGACCCAGCCACGTTTCATCTTCAATGCCCTTGCTGATGGAAGGAGGTTTTCACTCAAAATCTCACGATACATGGCTCCATTCATTCTTTCGTTTACACGGATCGGTCGTCCTGGTCCCTTTGCAGAAAAACAGCCCCAAAGCATGATGTTTCCACCTCCATGCTTCACAGTAGGTATGGTGTTCTTTGGATGCAACTCAGCATTCTTTCTTCTCCAAACACGACAAGTTGAGTTTTTACCAAAAAGTTCTATTTTGGTTTCATCTGACCATATGACATTCTCCCAATCCTCTTCTGGATCCTCCAAATGCTCTCTAGCAAACTTCAGACGGGCCTGGATATGTACTGGCTTAAGCAGGGGGACACGTCTGGCACCGCAGTGAGTCCCTGGCGGCGCAGTGTGTTACTGATGGTAGCCTTTGTTACTTTGGTCCCAGCTCTCTGCAGGTCATTCACTAGGTCCCCCCGTGTGGTTCTGGGATTTTTGCTCACAGTTCTTGTGATCATTTTGACTCCACGGGGTGAGATCTTGCGTTGAGCCCCAGATCGAGGGAGATTATCAGTGGTCTTGTATGTCTTCCATTTTCTAATAATTGCTCCCACAGTTGATTTCTTCACACCAAGCTGCTTACCTATTGCAGATTCAGTCTTCCCAGCCTGGTGCAGGTCTACAATTTTGTTTCTGGTGTCCTTTGATAGCTCTTTGGTCTTGGCCATGGTGGAGTTTGGAGTGTGACTGTTTGAGGTTGTGGACAGGTGTCTTTTATACTGATAATGAGTTCAAACAGATGCCATTAATACAGGTAACGAGTGGAGGACAGAGGAGTCTCTTAAAGAAGAAGTTACAGGTCTGTGAGGGCCAGAAATCTTGCTTGTTTGTAGGTGACCAAATACTTATTTTACCGAGGACTTTACCAATTAATTCTTTAAAAATCCTACAATGTGATTTTCTGGATTTTTTTTTCTCATTTTGTTTTTCATAGTTGAGGTATACCTATGATGAAAATTACAGGCCTCTCTCATCTTTTTAAGTGGGAGAACTTGCACAATTGGTGGCTGACTAAATACTTTTTTGCCCCACTGTATATGCATAATATATATGCACAGTACACACACACATATTTTGTACACAAAAACTTTTATGTTGGATGCGATTAATCGTTGCTCAGCACTAATTTTTATGTTTCAAAATGTTATTTATTTTTGTGCCGTAATAACGTTTTTTTTTTCATGATTCTTTGAGCAGAAAGTTCTGAATTAAAGCTTAATTTAATTGCTGAATAAAAGTATTCAGTTCTTACAAAAAGATTTGTCATGTGGAGTGTTGTAATGTTGCATCCATCAGATGTCTTGTGATTCTTACTTATTAAAGTCTATTGAACATATAGCTTGAGAACTTCTGATTTTGATAATGGAAAACCTTCAGATATTGTATAGCATAAAATGTTGATTATACAAGATCTGTGTGGTAGAATTTAAATGTTTTACTTTTATACTAAACTCTCTTTCTCTTGTACAGCATGCCAAACCTCAACAGTGACTTGTTTGACCTTCAGCCTGCCTTCATTCCTGCTGTGCAGAGCACTCCTATCTCCACCGCCAGCAGTGCCTGGGGAGGTGCGGCCCACTCCACCCATACACATACACCCAATCACCGATCTATTGTTTTACCACTTTAGATCACTGACCTTTAATTTAGTCCCTGAAAAATCATTAGAACAGATCAATCCTTTGTTAACTTGCAGTAAATGTTCATCTAATTATCTGTTCGTTCACTTGCTAGTTCATTCCTATGTTTCAAATACTTACAAGCTGTTTGTAAGCCCTGTCCCAAAAGCTACCATCTGCCCTTGGCGTTCACAGTTTGGTGAGATAATGGTATATAGATTGTTGGGCCATATGCAGCATTTTATGGCATCAATGATGCCTCAAAGAGCTGACCAAGCAGCTTGCTAGGTTTTGCAACCCAACCAATGTTTCGTTGTGTTTGTGTTCTCCATACCCATCCATCCTGTTGTGTAGGGTTCGAACAATGTTTTCTAGATATTCCGAAGTGTGACCGATTTGGGTGCTTTTCCGTTGAGGCATTATCGCTCTGGTTGGGAGCTGTGCTGAGTGTCAGAGGTTCATTTTCAGCACTTCAGCACATCTGCTGGGCTTGTGTGAATTGAGGACACAAGGTGCAGAGTGTAGACACACTGCCAGACTCTTAACTATGCCAGGATTTGTAGGTCACAGCATGCACTTGGAGCGTGCGCTTTACAGCTAGTGGACCGGTGCGCCGAGGGCTAGCCAGATGCACAGCGAGACTCAGGTCTCCAGAGACCCACATATACTACTAACAGTGCAAAGACACAGCAGTGTAGACAGATGGAGGGATGAGGTGTTTTAAAAAAGAGAGAAAGATTGCCGAGTAATGAGCAGAGTAGTGAGAAGGAGCCACAGGCACAGATTTAAGTTGTAAATTGTTATTTACATAAGAAATCATGGAATAATAATAGGAATCCACCAAAGTTTAGGCCGTTTCAAGCGCTTCAGCTGAAAATGGTATTTAATGACATTTTCAGACAAAAACGCATTTAATGGCATTCTCAGATGGATGGAAACTGTTATCAGAAAGAGGAAAAAGTATGCATGTAAAATGGTCCAGGTTTAACTGGGCTGCAAAAAAAATTATGTTGTGATTATTTTGACACATTGCGATTGACAGTTGTGACATGATTAACATTTTCATATTGCTATTGTTTAGATCTTCAGGCAAAAGACATAAAATCACTTTTGAAATGGCGTCTGCAAAAACTACAAACCATTAAGCCATATTGTATTTAGATGAATTGTGCAGCCCTAGAATCAATCTAAATGGTGGCAACTTGCAAGAAAAAAGGTCATGTATACTTCCATGTGTATGTGTGTGTTACTCTCAGGTCTAGAAAGCAGCACTCTTCATCCCATGGCTTCCATGCCCACCATGAATGTAGATTTTGATGCTGTATTTGGGACTAAAGCTTCCAATAGTGATGTGAAGCCATCAGCTGGTAAAATGTCTCACGTGTGATTATTAATAACTGCGCTTATTAATCTCTGAAGATTTGACCCTTGCCGCTGCTCTTAATAACTGCAAAACTTGGTAACCTTCACCCTAAAATAAACCTCTTCTGCTGGTTTTGCGGTATGGTGAGTTTGAGCTTTGCCGCTGGAATGCTGAAACAAACTGTGCAGCCGACTGCAGCACCTGCCCGTCTGACTCGGTTCTGGAGAGATTGGGAATGTTCTTTGGGGAATCGCTCATGCTTTTTTTCCTCTCCACTTACTCACTTCACTGCTCTGTGGTTGTGGACAGTCTGTTATCATCCCTTCATCCATCTACTGTGTGTGTGTGTGTGTGTGTGTGTGTTAGTGGAGGCTGGGTGCTGACTGGCATTTTTCTCCATCTGTTAATCGCCTGTCGCCACACTCCTTATCTGAACACAGAACAGACGCACACACATTTCCACTCACCAGTACATTCACTCTCGGTCTGCCCCTATCTTCCTTTTTTTTTTCTTTCCTTGGCCCCTTTTTTCTTACCTTTTGCTTTTGTTTTTGTTATTTTTTGTTTTTTTGTGTCTCCCCCCACCCCATTCACTCTCTTCTGCTCTCTTTCCTGGGTTATGATGGCTGATCTGATGTGGTGAGTGTGTACTCGTGTTTTTTTTTTTTTTTGTCTTGGCCTCCTTGTTCCTGCTGGCAAAGCAGAAAGTAGAACTGTATATATATGGCATGTGTCAGCAGACTGTCTCTCTTGCTTGCTTTCTCTCATTTACTAAAAGAATTAGCAACATGATCTGGGGTTTTTTACCATTTGAAAACTAGTTGCCTCTTCAGTTAATGAAATCAGCTGTTTGAAAGTCAACATTAAATAGCATTTACAACAGTGTTATTATTGTAATATTTATGTACTATTACAGTATTGTTAGTATTTTGAATTAGCTTTTATTTTTATAACTTCAGTTTTCATTTTATTTTTAGATTTTGTATTATGTAGATTTTTCATTATTATTAGTTTCAGTTTTTAATATTTCTATATATTTTTGTTTCTGTATTTTAATTAATTTTTAATAATTAAGCATAACATTTTTTTAATTACTTGCCAAGGCAAAAACAAACAAACAAAGTTTTTCCATCTAATATTTATATTTTATTTCAGTTTTATTTTAGTTAACAAAAACTATTTTAATAGTTTTCGTTACCAACTACTACCCTAATTTACAACGCATTTGACTTTTGTAATGTGATATATTTACGCAAATAGTGGGCAATCCTGGGCAAAAGTTATTTGTCGAAAAGGTTTAAAAAAAAATTGTGGATACTGAAGGTCAAGTATCCACATTTTCAATGTCAGAGCATTGACATTGTAATAACTATTGGCAAGATTTTAGAGAGTTTGTGTTCGTCTGCAACAGTATCTAAATAGCTGTTGGTTAGCATTTAATCAGTAGCCTGTGTGGTCTAAATGAAAAAAGCAAAGTCTAAAAGATGAGTTATTACATTTTATTTAAAGTCTTCAAAGGCATTTTTCTCTTTGATATAACATGCACTGATTAATCATCCACAATAAGCCGAGTAACATGTATTAAGAAAAAAAGAAGCGATTTTTTGCAATATTATGCCTCCATAAGGAGAAGAATAAGAAAAAAGGGGATGTCATAGATTTCCAGTTTTGTTTAAGGAGCCCTGTCGTGTTATTTCCTCTTAGTTCTCAGGGTGGTTCCTCCCGTCCTGACCTAATGTTCTGCTCTAGATCTCTATGGGTCTTTTGTCATGCCGTGAGTGGCCTCACAGAGGCTCATCCCCGCTGCTCGCATCATTATAGACATCAGCAGGACTGCAGCACGCTTTCTCTCGTCTCACTCCTGTCTCTCTGCTCTATAACACCTATGCCCTAACCAGGCCTGATGCGACAAGTTTCCAGCAACAAGCAATTTGTGTGTCCACATTGAAAGCTTAACGGCTGCACGATGTGACATTTATAGTGTATTAGATGTTTAATGTACAGTGTACATATTGAGATGCACTGATCCTGTTTTTCCTTCTTAAGACTGACATCTCAACAAGCATTGGCTATTACAGAGTACTGATCTGATACCATCTGTACAAATTAAAATTTACCCTTTCGGCTAACCTTAACAACCATGACTAACACACAGAAACGAATTTGTTTGAGTCAAGTCTAACTGATATCCAATTCTTTTAAAAAGGTCAGCAGTGCAGAAATATAAAACCTTTATTGCTGGTTGCTTGACGTGTCGCTTCTGGTTAGGTGTCAGTCTGCAGCAAAAATAAGTGGTTTGCCACTCTCGTAATATATAATCAATGGAATAATGGTTTCTCTGTCTTTTTTCTCAGGTTATGATGCGTTAGGAGACTTGTTGAAGCCCACGGTGACGGTTCACACTCAGGCACCGATCATGGCTCCTCATACAGGCAGTAAACTGTTGGCCAGTGACCTGGATTCGTCCCTGGCCAACCTCGTAGGCAGTGAGTCCCTCTTCCTTGCAGCATTATTGGTCTGTTTGTGTGGCTTTCTTTATTTACTTGGTCATAAGTCCCTGACCTTCAAGTTGCATTTGTGCTACTCTACTGAACAGAGAGTCAGCAGCCATATGGTGCTATACGCTTATGGGTATGTATGTGTGTGCGTGTTGAACAGAGACGAATTAAACCCAGCTTAGGGGAAATGAATAAGTATCTGATGCCTCCAGTGCTGTAAGTCTTCCAGTATTACGCTGATGTTGGGCTGTTCTAACAGTCTGTTTCTTTCCCCCCCTCTCTTTTTAGACCTGCAGTTTGGGGGAGCACCAGGCAAAAAGTGAGGATTTACATTTAATTATCTAAATCATTTCAAATTGTAAAAAGAAGCAGTGTCTAGACTCTCTTTGCATGTGTTTGCATGCAGGTCTGACATGCAGTGGACTCAGCCTGGAGAGAAGAAGCTGACCGGTGGCACTAACTGGCAGTCAAAGACAATGAGCAGCACCACTGCCTGGAGCCCCGCCCCCTTGCCACCTGCTGCCATGCCACCTGCCGCCATGCCCGTGCCACACATGGTGAGAACACACACATGGACACACACTCACTCACTCACACATAGTGATATACAAGCACCTAAATATACTTGAACTACCTTAAAATACAGTAAAGTCAGTAATACTGTAAAATATTTTTACAATCTTAACTGTTTTCTGAAAATCTTTCTTATTTCTTATTATTTATGTTTAATATTTTTATCCAAACCATCATACATTTTCTTTTCAAGTTTTTATTTTTTACAAAAGTTCAGCATTTATTTGAAATATAAATCTTTTGTATCGATGTAAAAGTCTTTACTGTGACTTTTGATCAATTTAATGCATCCTTGCTGAATAAAATAATTAATTTATTTAAAAAAATATCTTACTGGCCCCTAACCTTTGAATTGTAGTGTATATTCAAACAGTAATACTTGATTTTCAATACACTTGATTCTGATTGGTCACTTGCAGATTTCTTCAGTCAATTTGTTTTTAATAATGACACTAAACTGTATATTTGACCAGGCAACTGATTTCTTACATCTCTGTGCTGTTTTTATCACTCATATCACTCTGCGGGACTCTTTCTTCTCACATTACAATAATTTACACTTAATATTTCATGTCCGTTTATTTATTAGTACTGTAATGAAGCAGGGTCATTATAGCAAAATAAACAACTTTAAAGTATGAATAAGCCTTCGCTATGTTACACTGTGACCGGATAACAGTACATTTATACATTACTTAATATATACAGACATTCTTGCATATATAAACATTCCCATTCACATGCAAACATCATGTCAAATACTCTTAACCTTACAAACATGAAGGAATCCATCTGTTGTAAAGCTCAATTCACACCAAATATCCAGATTTCATACACTAGAATTCAGGAATTCTTTGCTGTTGTGCTATAGTGTGTAGCTTCAGGAAATATGAGTGTGAGTGTGTTTCTTGTTCTCATGCGGTGTGTATTGATCCAGTCAGGCAGGTGATGTGTTAGTCTGTTCTGAGACAGGATAGAGAGGAGTTTTCACTGATTACATATGTTTATGGCCGCTCTTGTCTCTCTCTCAGGGCGTTCAGAGTAGATTGACCTCTGAACTGCTTGAGTTGAGAGAGAGCAGATGTCTGTGAATAACTAACCTTCAGTGTCTCTCTCTTTCTGTCTCTCTCCACCGTTTCTGTGGTCCGCATCTTTCTGGCCCGTTTCTCCTCGTGTCTGACGTCTTCAACTCTCCTCGCTCTATCTGCCCTGTATGTTTCTGTCTTTCTCTCTATCCTCTTTCTTGTGCTTAACCCAGCAGACTGGAATGTTCTATACTAGTTATGTAAGTACCTCCTATAACTGACAGTTCTATTATCTTGAGTATCGTTTACGAGGGATCGATTCTCTCTTACACATTATCTCTCTTATTCCCACACATTTCCCTCACTTTCACATTCCCACACCTTATTTCTTGATTTCTATCTTCACTTATTTGGTTCATTGTGTTAAATTTGTAATAAATTTAGTTGAATCGTGGGTGAAAATGGGCAGTTACTTGGAAAAAGGTTTTGTATCGAAATTAAAATGAAAAACATTCTGATTGTACATGTGCTTTAAAATGAAATACAAACCTTCTGTTAAATTATAATCATGTTTTATTTTACATTTTCTTTTGTTTTTACAAATGTTTTTTTTTCTCTCTCATTTTTCAGTGTGGATTTAAAAGAAAATCAAAGTTAATTACAGAAGTATTGTACCGATTTTTAGATATCGGTGCATCCTTACCTAATAATAATAATAATAATAAATAATAGTACAGCTGTTAATATATATGGTAATTGGTCGTTATGTATATCATATGCATAATGTATATGTGTATTATATAACTTATTTTAGCTTGAGCTTGTTTACCACAGTGGCTTTTTATGTTTCATGTACTCTTGAGACTAATTAAAAACAATAGTTTGATGTTTCTCTGTAACTCTCTGTATGGTTCCAGGCCAAATGACCCAAAAGCAGTTTTCTCACACTGTGTAAAATCAAAGTTAATTACAGAAGTATTGTACCGATTTTTAGATATCGGTGCATCCTTACCTAATAATAATAATAAATAATAGTACAGCTGTTAATATATATGGTAATTGGTCGTTATGTATATCATATGCATAATGTATATGTGTATTATATAACTTATTTTAGCTTGAGCTTGTTTACCACAGTGGCTTTTTATGTTTCATGTACTCTTGAGACTAATTAAAAACAATAGTTTGATGTTTCTCTGTAACTCTCTGTATGGTTCCAGGCCAAATGACCCAAAAGCAGTTTTCTCACACTGTGTGAATGGGCTAAAAATTTCTACTCTGTGTGAAAAGGCCTTTACCGTAACTTCCAACATCCTCTGTCTTCCAAAACCCTCTCTATTCCTGATAAACACAGAGAATGTCACGTGTTGATTTCCCTGACTTATGAATGTTTGTTCGGTCTCTCATGCCCTTTCTGGAGCATTTGATGTATTCATCTTTTTGGAGCTTTGACTTGCAAACCAGACTTGTGCAAATGTGTGCGTTTGGGGGCTACATTTTACGTAACCTGTTTACGATTCAAAACTGATGAATTCTTTGTGCCAACAAATCAATGCTTGCCATGTTCAGATCAAAGTGTCAAATAAGGTTTTGGGCTTTTAAGTGAGTGACAGTTATTCAGGCAAGTCTTTGTTTTAGGAAAAACTATTTCAGACATACTCTACCGTTCAAATGTTTAAGGTCAATATTAATGACAAAGGTACTGTTTTCTATTTTAATATATTTTAAAATGTATTTTATTCCTGTGATGGCAAAGCTGAATTTTTAGCAGCCAGTCTTCAGTGTCACATGATCACTCTAATATACTTATTTTGGTGCTCATGAACGTTTTCTCATTGTTATCAATGTTGAAAACAGTTCAAAAGAAAATAATTTTGGAACATTAGAAGTGTCTTCACTCTCACTTTTGATCAATTAAATGCGTCCTTGAATGGTATAGTAAAATGACAGTGTTGCTGAGATGCATTGTTTTATTTGACTGAGACCAAATGTATTTAAAAACAAATTTTTTACTCATTGTTCGGTGAAGTTTTTTTTTTTTAGTCTTAGGAACATGTCAGATCCTTGAGTTCTATTGTTTTGCTTCAGTGTTGTGCAGTGTTGCATATGATGAATGGACCTGTTCTGACCTGTCATGAGTACAAAAGAGAGTAATTAAAAAAGCTCTTTAAATGAACCAGACATGATTAGTGAGCACAGAGCTGTTGGATGAGTACAGTAGTGTTTGATCAGTGAGTTGTGCCATTGGTCATTCGATCAGTGAAGCATTGTTTGGTCATTCAGTGCATTGATGGTTGATTTGCGACCCTTTTTCCCCTTTAGGCTCCTGCTCCCATGGCGTTTCCCATGACAACACCTCAAGTGCCTGTGTATGGAATGGTGAGTATTGTGACCTTACAGTGGCTACATGGATATTGTGTAGATGAATTAGATGGTTAATAGCTAAAAGAAAATAAGCTATTTATTTGAATGTTGTGTTTGGGGTGAGTTTAGGTCCCTCCTCAGCTGGGACAGATGGGAGGGGTTCCAGTAATGACCCAACAGCCCATGTTGTACAACCAGCCTGTTCTCAGACCCACTAACCCTTTCACCCCCATCCCTGGAGCCCAGGTACACACACAGACACATTAGTTAGTCCATCTGTATCACACATGTAGTAGCCTCGCATGCATTTAATCCATACCACACTGCCTGTAATACACCAAACCTTTATATCGTAGTTATTTTTCAGTTTCACTAGTCTGAAACTTAATGTTGAAAGCATAATAGACCTTCTACTGTCTATTTATACCATTAATATTAAACAAAAAAAACTCCAAAAGTATTAAATTGCCCTTAAAAGTATTAACAGTATTAATAGTTCCTTAATGTTAATATTGGTTTAATAGTAAAGCAGTAAAGACTTTATAAGATTTTTCTTTTTTGTTGAAGCAATCATTACCTAATTGAGAAATGCTTCAAGGCTATACACCGTTGTACTTGCAACTTATTTCTGTGGTTAATATTTGCATTTAATGTGTTAAATATAATGAATGCAATTAACAATGCATTTATTTACACTTTTTTTTATTCTTGAAGTAGTTTTGTAATGTGTTTATTATATATTTATTGTGATAAATCAGTGCAAAAAAACTTTAAAGCGGGGAAAAAATTAACTGAGCTCATTCAAACAGAGATTTGGTAGCACATTAAGTTCACTTTAATTAAAATTTATTATTTTTTTATGTTCTGTAATTGTTAAAAAAATGATTAAAAAAAAAGTCAGAAAATTTGCAGTGTAAGCCTGGCTTTTAATTATAACTGTAATGTTGAATGGAAATAATTACTCATTTTATACCCAGCAGTGAAAAAAAACAAAGAAGTTTAATAGAGGCATCAGATTGGTATAAGTGATACTGGCCTTTATTTGTAGGGCCAGATGCCATTAAAAATATTTAAAATATAATTTTTTTATATTTCTGCTTTTGTTGTTTTCATATTAATTTGGAGATTTAATGTAAAAATATATTTATGATCACAGATTTTAGTGTTAGGTGCGATTTAATAGTGATTTAATTATAGAAAGCTGTTATTCTTTTATCTTTTAGTTGATTGACAGCCTTAGTATTAATGTTAATATTATTTAACTTTTTTAAATGTTTTTATAAATAATTATTATATTATTTTACTTTTTAAATGAAGCATTTTTAAATAGCAATACTAGTTTTTGCTGTAGTATTGAGAATCTATATCTATATCAGTCAGAAAATTTGACTGGTATTATATTTTAACAACTGAAATTGTAGTATTGTAACATCCCCATCACACACACACAAAACAAAACGCAGCTCCCTGCCTGTGGCAAGTACACACAGATGCTCCATTTACAAGATGTTCAGTGCTGCTGTATTCACACGGTCATTACTGAGCGCTTCAGTGCTGGCTTGCTTATTTATTACTCTTTGTGTGTCTTTTTACAGATGCAGTTCATGTAAGTAGCACTTAAGCAGAGCGCCAAACAGGATGGCTGAAAAGAACAAGCTAGTGAGAGGAGGATCCAACTACCACCAAATAAAAGGAGATCGAGATAAAAAGAAAGAGCGTGCATATGGAGAGGAATGTGTTTGTGGCAAGAATGCTTACCTCACTGTCTGAAACGGCTCACCCAACACACACACACACACCCCAGACGAGAGCGCATACAGTGTGTCATTTTTCATCTCTTGAGGTTCATTTCTTTCCTGGGGCACGATGTCTACTGGCAGGTGTGATACATCATAGAAATCGTGGATTTTATTGCAGATATTAAATTACCATGTACAGAGCATTCTTCTTTCCTTTCTTTTTTTTCTCTTCATAATTAATATGAATTAGATCTAAAGCCCAACACAGTGGACTTCCTGTTACGAAGATGTTACGAAGATGCCCATGCTGAGTTCAGGAAAACAGTGAATGTCAAAGTAAATCCCCTGAGTAGTACAGCTTACTAGATCAGTGTTTCCCAACCTTTTTTTAGTCGCGGCACCCTTTGGAGATTTTAACAAACTCGTGGCACCCTACAAAATTAATTTTGTCACAATATTTGAATTTCTAACTTCGATATGATAATTTGAAAAGTATAGATATTCGGTACAACAGGGAAGAACTGCAGAATATAATGTCATACAGATGTTTTTAATATTATTAAAAAAAATGTGTCCATCAATGGTGCCAATCAGTAGGCTAATTTCTAATGAAGAGACCAATTTATATGACAGATTTTAATGTAGGCTTTTATACATATGTAAACATTTATTTAATTACCATTATAACTAGCTATCTCACAAATGTTTTGCTCACTCAAAGTGTTTTTTTAATAATAAAATAAATTATAATTTAATAATAATAATTTGAATAATTTGAATAAAAAATGACAAGCAAGCAGTCAGTAATAAAATAAGAACAAATAAAGAAATTAATAATGATAGCACAAATAAAAACATTCTGATTCGCATGAGCGGTATACGAGTGGAGCGACTGAACGGGAGCGCACACGTGTAGAGCGGGATAATACGTGGAGCGTCACACCACGTGAAAGTGAAACCTGAGCGGTGAACTAATTTTCGGCAGCTGAAATTTCGGTGCATCTCTAATTATTGGCGACATTAGAAATGGATATTATATAATAGCTGCTTTTTTGAACATTTTAGCAATTTAAAAATATAAAAAAATGATTTTTTACACGGCACCCCTGCTCTCGACAGAATTTATTGGTTACAAATAATAATCCTTCCTCTAAGCAATGTAGTTCTTCTGCAGTGTTTAGCAGAATAGTTGCCAAGCAATGCACAGTCTCAGTGGTACAGTAATACTGATGTAATGAGGTCACAGGTGCGTGTTAAAAGAGCCGATCAAGGAATGGAATTTTCTATTTTATAAGAGATTTTGTAAGTGTCATTTTTGTAGTGTCACATGTTCTAGAGAGTTATAGTTATGACATGTTTATAACAGTCCATCTTGTGTCATCAGAATGGTTTTAGGAATGTGTAAATTAGACACACATTTATTTGCACAAGGTTCAGCCCACTTACAAGGATAATCCACCCAAAAATGAAATTTCTGTCATCATTTATTCCAAACCGGAATGTACTTATTTATTCTGCTGAACATAAAAAGATATTTTGAAGAATGCTGATAACCAAACCGTGTCGGTTCTCTGTGACTTGCATTGTATTTTTTGTCCATGAGAATCAAACGGTTCAGAAAAATCTTCTTTTGTGTTTCACAGAAGGGCAGTCATACATGTTTGGAGCTCCATTAGCGTGAATAAATGCTGACAGAATTTTGACTTTCCATCAGTTCAAGTGTGGTCTTGGCTTTTGTATGTTGCTAAAGACATCACTGCAAGTTTTATATTGTTGCTGTAATGCGTGCTGTGTGACCGCCTGCCCTTCCATTTGTAGAAGCAATCAATGCGCATTGTGTTTCTCTGCTTGCTTAATTCTGTGAGTGTGCGAGTTGGTTACTAATTCTTTACTGAGCATCTCTTAACATGCTTGTGAGTTTATTCTCCTTTGAGCGCCATCAGGGGGTCCAGCAGGTTCAGACTGAATGCTTTTTATATGCAGGCTCAATGTTGATGCTCTCTCTGGGTTTGCAAGGTAACGGGGCACCGAGGAGCAATGCTGTTTAATTAGGATCTATTCTATTATCCCGTCACCGGAGGCTTGAAGTGTGTGAAGTGAGAGTGAATGTATGATCGTGAGCTTCAGGGAGGGTGAAAGATGTCAAGATGTACAAGGGCACTATCATGAGCCAGGGTTTCCATGGTAATCTCCAGTTTCTGGTCGACGAGCACAGCAGCGTTTCGTTCTCTTAGTCATATTTTGTCTTTTTTTAATATTATTAAAAGCTCTGCATGCATTAGCGGCCCAGCCTGTGGTGAAGACTGTCTGAAGATGCAAGTTTCTTTGGCAACCTAGTGCATTTGGATAACCTTTAGGCTTGTTGACTTGATTCACTGGCAACGGGTCATGAATGCTTTCTCTCTGACACACCATAGGCTTTTTAAACTTGGTTTTGCTGAGTTAAGGCGTTCAAGGAACAAACTTTCATTTTTGTTTCAAATCCCTGCTATGCACAGAAACGTTTCCTAAGTTCTTGCTTTCACAGCTCCCCCTTGTGGTTACTGTTTGTCATCTTTCATATAAACAGCTGCTAGTTGGTGTTCTGTTTGCTGTTTATGGGGCGGTTGCGCACACAAAGCAAATGTCTGAGTGTATTGGACTCACCGCTCTACATTCAATCTTTATTTTAGAGCACCCGGCAGACTGACGAGCAGCCAACTCCAGTGTACTTCTGAACTACTTAGCCTGATTTTATTCATCTCAGGCTCTGCTCATTAGCTGGCCTGGAATACTCAGCTCAGCAACTGCGTTTCATGATATCGATGTGTCAGTGTGTGTGCCGCACGTCTCAGACCTCTAGTGGGGATGCTTGGCGTTCAGGGTCCTTTTAGGTGGGCTATTTGCTACATTCTTATTAGCATCTTTTTGTCCTTCTTTTCCTGTTACAGAGATATATGCAGTATATTTAGAAATATGTATTCAGTAGAAGCGCCATCTTCCCTGTGTATCAGCCCAGGGGAGCAATGCAGCAACCTTTTTTTTATCCATTTGTCATCAAATGCCAAAAAAGGAGAACACAAAACCTCCATGTTTATGCCCATTTCCCCACTGTATTTTTTATTTTTTTTTGTAATTTATTTATGCAGACCATAAGGAGTTTATTCAGCATGGTGAAAATAAAAAGCAGAAATTGTGGGATTGTTTAACTTGTTTGTCTTTCATTTTTGTCTGACTTTCATTCACATAAATAAAGTCCCTTTTTTTCCTGAGTTGTTGGTTACTTTTGTTTAGTTTCATTTTGTCTGTCATCTTATTCATCTCATCAATTAGATCACAAGCGGGAAAATCATTGCCCTCGAGTTAATTTTGGATGTCAGGCTCTTTTGTTTTCTCTTCTCTGGCCTCTTGAAATTGCACTTCATGCCTGCCTCACGGCCCATAATGCAGGGTTTTTACAGTATGAATGCACGTTTTAAATATCTGGTCAAATTTGTGTAGTGCCGTGCTGTTGTTTTCGCATCTGTCAATGTGATTTCTGTTGAATCTATTGCACGAGTTTCACTGCAACAGGAACCACCTGATTATTTCTTTGTAGCACTTTTTAACAATGGACTCAGAAACAGGAAGTTTTGTTTAATCCTATGTTTTTTTTTAATCCTGATGTTATAGACTCCTGCATGTTATATATATATTTTTTTTTTATTATTTCAGAAAATGACATGAATCATGGTCTGTTTTATGTTGCCAAATTATGTACATTTGTGATTCGAGAAATGCCATAAGCTAGCTCTTGTACTCGGCGCCTGACAGCGCGGTTCTTTCTCTGAAGGACGTGCGTATCGGTGTTTGCCAACTTTAGAACCAAAATCAATAGCTAAAATCTACTTTGTCTGTTTTTGTGCAGTTCCTCGAAATATGGGGCACTGTTAACAGGGTATCTTTATTTTTGCTTGTGCAGCCAAAGCATTTTCGGTCCTCCTGAAATCCCTTTAACCCTTTCTAGAGCAGGTTTCCACTTCAGCCTTCACATCAGCCCATAATTCCTGCTTTGTTTCTTCATGCTAGATTTAGTTTTTATTCTGCATGGACTGATGGAACGTTACTGGAGATCGTAAATGAGTTCCAAGAAGCTGTGGTTTACAGTGATTTTAAAATCTTAGTGATTTTAGAATTTGCGCTCCTTGTTGTGCCTAACAATGCTTGTTAGCTGTAAAAAAATCACTGTATACTACAGCTTCATAGAGCTTATTGCTTTTTTTTAAATGATCACTACCTATAGCTGCAAGGTTTCGGAACGTAAACACACAGCAACAAAAATTTAATAATTTATTGGTTACAAATAATAATCCTTCCTCTAAGCAATGTAGTTCTTCTGCAGTGTTTAGCAGAATAGTTGCCAAGCAATGCACAGTCTCAGTGGTACAGTAATACTGATGTAATGAGGTCACAGGTGCGTGTTAAAAGAGCCGATCAAGGAATGGAATTTTCTATTTTATAAGAGATTTTGTAAGTGTCATTTTTGTAGTGTCACATGTTCTAGAGAGTTATAGTTATGACATGTTTATAACAGTCCATCTTGTGTCATCAGAATGGTTTTAGGAATGTGTAAATTAGACACACATTTATTTGCACAAGGTTCAGCCCACTTACAAGGATAATCCACCCAAAAATGAAATTTCTGTCATCATTTATTCCAAACCGGAATGTACTTATTTATTCTGCTGAACATAAAAAGATATTTTGAAGAATGCTGATAACCAAACCGTGTCGGTTCTCTGTATCACTGTATACTACAGCTTCATAGAGCTTATTGCTTTTTTTTAAATGATCACTACCTATAGCTGCAAGGTTTCGGAACGTAAACACACAGCAACAAACATTTAATAATTTATTGGTTACAAATAATAATCCTTCCTCTAAGCAATGTAGTTCTTCTGCAGTGTTTAGCAGAATAGTTGCCAAGCAATGCACAGTCTCAGTGGTACAGTAATACTGATGTAATGAGGTTACAGGTGCGTGTTAAAAGAGCCGATCAAGGAATGGAATTTTCTATTTTATAAGAGATTTTGTAAGTGTCATTTTTGTAGTGTCACATGTTCTAGAGAGTTATAGTTATGACATGTTTATAACAGTCCATCTTGTGTCATCAGAATGGTTTTAGGAATGTGTAAATAAGACACACATTTATTTGCACAAGGTTCAGCCCACTTACAAGGATAATCCACCCAAAAATGAAATTTCTGTCATCATTTATTCCAAACCGGCATGT